ATCGCTGGAGCCCAGCAGGTCGAGGCTATGGTGGCCGGGAGCAGCCACTGCACTCCAGTCGGGGTGACAGAGAGAGACTCCGACTCGAAAGAAAGAAAGAAGGAAAGCGCTATCACTTGAAGTCTCTCCCTTCACCACATCCAGCCACCAGAGCTTTATTTTCAGAGTATTTTGTGTGGTGAGTGAGTTTGGAGTTTCGCTCTCTCTCAGGGTAATTAAGGTATAGACGAGGTGAAAGGGGAGTTTTGCAGGTTTATTGATATTTAATTGCAGAATAAAGAGGTTCTAAGAGCCTGAGGAGGCTCCTTTCCCTTTCCTTCCTCCCCACCTCCACTGCAAACATCAGACAATTCATCACTTTTATGTCTCGGGTGTGGGGATAACTGTCGCGGTCCTGGGACCAGAAGACAGCATTGTATGTGGAATAACAAAGCGCTATTTCTAGAGGCAGATTGCAGGGATATGAAAACAGCTTTGTGTGTCACAGAATGTTCTTCATACAACTGCTATTACTGGGGAATTTTTACCTGCTAAGAAGTTTGATGGTAAGGACCTCTCAGTTGTCAATTTCCCTTCTTCCTGTTCAACAACTTTTAGTTCAATAACTGCCTCCCCCAACACATTCCCTCAGTCCCACCACTCTGAAAAAGAAAATAAATAAATAAAACTTCGTCTCAAGGGAGAAAGTTTTCTTTGGGGTAGTTTCCTACATTCCAACCTTCTCTTCCCATCTTGTAGTCTTCATGCCTAATCTTTAAGAAAAGACTTGTTTTACAAGTAAACAAGGGACCACTCACCTAGCCTGGGGAGTCAGGAAGCTGAGCACTTTAGGAGGCTAAAGTGGGAGGATTGCTTGAGCCCAAGCATTCAAGGCTGCAGTGAGCTATGATCATCGCACTATACTCTAGCCTGAACAACCGAGTGAGAACCTATCTTTGTAAAAAATGAGCTGCAGTAACTGTATTTTGCAAGGTTCACTATAATTACCTTTCTTTGTCTAAAGAGTTTCCAGAGCCGGGCTCGGTGGCTCAGCCTGTAATCCCAGCACTTTGGGAGGCCGAGGTGAGAGGATTGCCTGAGCCCACGGGTTCGAAACCTGCCCGGACAACTTGGCGAGACCTCATCTCTACAATAAATCAAAAATTAGCCAGGCGTGGTAGCGTGCGCCTGTAGTTCCAGCTACTTGGAAGGCTGAGGCGGAAGGATTGCCAGAGCCCAGCAGGTCGAGGCTGCGGTGGCCAGGATCGGCCACTGCACTCCAGTCTGGGTGACAGAGTGAGACTC